AAAAATCAGGCCTGTACGGGACTCGAACCACAGTACAGGCCTGATTTTTTTCAGGTCTGATTTTCGCTATTGCTTAAATAGGGCTATCTACTGCGAGGATCGTGCATCGTACATATATTATTTTGTTTATTATGTAAACACTACAGGCCTTTACTGGCAAGGGCGGTGCAAAAGACAAGTGATGTACAAGAAGCTGATTGGAGATGTCAAATACACATTAAAAATTTTGTAATTTTACACACATACAATGACCGCTTTTCTGAGGGCTTGAAATTTTCAAGAAGCACAGCAGTTTATATAATTAAAAAATTTTAACTTTTGATTGTAAATTTCATTTCTAGGAAGTAGTGTCAGAAACATTGAAGCTTTCCAAGTTCTACAAACTGTTTTCCTGAAGGTAAAGATTTAAATTTCAGCATGCAGTTTAAAACTAGCAGGGATCAATCCTTTTTTTAATGAGATTCCACAATGTTAGGAATGACACTTATCTTATCTTGTTCTTTTGCAGACAACAGACAAGCTCCTCTGTCTAAATATCCTGGATTGTATCAACAACATCTATTGCTCAGACAATGCAAATTTTTTCATTCTGGAACCACAGCATACATTATCATTATTTGTTGAAAAAGCTCCGGAGAAGGACATTGAAGTGCAAGAGAGAATATTCAAATTACTGGAGCTGGTGATTTGTAATCTCAACTGGGTACCATGCCCTGAGCTTATCTCTGTCAGCATTCTTTACAAGAACAAGAAGTAAGACCTTATCTTTTTTTCTTTTTTTTTGTAATCTGTGAAGATTACATATTTCTTTCACTTCAACTGTACTTGAACACTATCTTTTTGTGACATCACTTGAATTCAGTCCTGTCTGAGATTTATTATGGAAGAAAAAGAAAATAAGTAAATATTATGTATAACAAATTAATAGTCCATTTTACAGTTGCATGCTTGGTTGCCAAGGCTTTGAATGGGAGTGAGGCTAAGGGTGACCTTGTTATGTTACAAATGTTACTGTTTTTCAAATGTAAATTACTTTGTTATCATGCTAACTAGATACTGGTCTCTATCCCAACAAGGTCGCCTTTAGCCTCACTCCAATTCAAACGCAAGCAGGGATAGTGTAGTGGTGAGCGCCCTCGCCTCCCACTACTGTGGCCTGGGCTCGATTCCCGGACCTGGTGCCACATGTGGGTTGAGTTTGTTGTTGGTTCTCGTCCTTGCTCCAACAGTTTTACTCCAGGTCATCNTTTTTTTTTTTTTTGATAGGGTCTCTGGCTGTCATCAAGGTGCTCTTTGTTTCCTTATTCGCATTCTGAGCTTTGATCCCAAGTATAAAGATGTCTTCAGGGATGTAGGAGTTCTAGAAGTACTGACAAATTGTCTTAAGCAGTATGCTGATGGCTTGAAGGAAACATACGATGGTAAGGCATTTAAAGACAATCACAGGAAGTTGAGAAAACTTTTTCAAACCCACAAAAATGCCCTCTAAAATGTGCCTTGCCCCCAACATGTGGCTTTCTAGCTCAGTTGGTAGTAATGGCAGACAGTATCTGGGGGGCATGCTTTCTGAAATTGTGGCTTACCTTTGCAGATCATTTCTTTGCTTAATTTTCATCTGCAGGTCAATTGAAAGTGATTTCATTCAAAATTTTTGTATTTTAATTGGAAGTTACCAGGGTGGAAATTTGTTGTAATTTGGAGAAGTTAAAGTTAAGGTTAAAGTTTTCCTTTTATTCTCAATCAGAAACAGTCAAGACAGCTGTTAGCCAGCTGGATGTGAATGGCTATGATGATTCTGAAAATGTTCCTGATTATCCATTCCTGCTAATGGGCTGTCTTAGACTACTCTTGGAAAATAACCCCAAAAACGCCACGATGTTCCGGGAATGTGGAGGAGCTCGCTGTGTCCATAACATTGTGCCATACTCCAGCTCAAGGACAGAGTCTTTGAAGATCATCAGAGAGTTGATTCTAAGTGGTGGAAACGATGATCTGGGTAGGGAGAATGTAGTGTTTTCATCACAGCCATTGTTTTGATTCTTTAACCCCCAAGACTGAGAGACGTCAAAAATCTACCAACAGCATCACTGCTGTATAAAACATTAAAGCAACGAGAATTAAGCAAATGAACACCACTTAAATAAATTCTCCTTCTCTGCACCTTAGGAAATGTATAGAGAGCAGTATGGAGAATATGTATACTGATGTTAGGGAGTAAAGGGCTAAGTACACGGGCAGTGGAGCATTTTGGAACATTGGGGAAGAGGGGAGAGATTCTTCCAAGGGGTTAGTGAAGATTCTTCTCAGGGGAGGTAGGAGGGGAGAGGGATTCTTCTTAGTGGATAGGGGGAGATTCTTACTAGAGGGGAGGTGGGAGAGAATCTTTCTAGGGCAAGGGGGAGGGATTCTTTCCAGGGGGGAGGGAAAGAGAGATTTTTTCCAGAGGGTTGGTGAGAGAGTCTTCCCATGGGGAGTGAGAAAGAGTCTTCCAAGAGGGAGGTGGGAGAGTCTTCCCAGGGGGAGGGAGACAGACTCTTTCTAGGTGGGAGGTGGTAGAAAGTCTTCCTAGTGCATACCCCTGGACACATTTTTCTAAGTGTCCTTCGTGTCATTTGTTAGCAAACTCCAACTGCTGTGACTATCAAGGACACAAAAGATAACCCGAATTCATTAATTACTAACATCTTTTTTTTGTTCTCCAGGCACTCTCCTTGGCTTGATGCACTCCACTCAGCAGTCAGAAGTGAAGCTTAAAACTGATGTGTTAGATGCACTGCTGAAAGTGTTTGATCTTGATCCCAGAACAAGAGCTGTGTTTCGTGAAGTTGGAGGATTTGTGTACGTCATGTCAGTCTTGATAAACATGGAAGGAAGTCTGGCAGATCCAGTAAATCCTGCATGGACAGATGGTACTTGACATAACTTGAAGTTTTTTTTGTAAGAGCAATTTTCGAGGGAGTGTTGAAACTAATCCAGGATTGCTTTGGTTTTACTTAACTTTACTCTGTGATTGGTACAGAAAACTCGCACCATCCTCTCATGAATACCAATTGCTGCTCAGTCACCTTTGTTTTCAGTTCCGTGCTTGTCTTTGCTTTGAGTTCTCATTGGCTAATGATAATGTATATAGTCAAACCTCCACTAACAGCCACCTCTCTGCAATGGCCACATCTCCACACTGACCCCTTTTTTTGGGTCCTTTGGGCTGTCTATACATTACACCCCTACCTCCCCATAATGGCCACCTCTCCACAATGACCACTTTCTTCTGTCCTCGAGGTGGCCGTTGTGGAGAGGTTCAGCTGCATCTTTGTTCTGATTGCTTTGTAGGATTATTTTTTTGGTTTTACTTGTATTGTGAAGCTGATGATTATGTTTTCCCTCAGTAAACCGGGAACAGATTCTTGTCCTGTTGCGGACAGTGTTTCATGTTTTGACAGCTGCCATTCAAGATGATCCTGCCAACAAGAACTTCATGGATGAGGTAAAATTTGCCATTTTTTCATTCAATTATATTGATCAACCCGCAAGGATTAGATGGGTCATCCTCAATTATAATCCGTAAGCTGATTCAAGTTAAGACAACATTTTGCTGCTGTTGCAGAATAAGAAACAAACTTGTCTTTTCATAAAGTCACTCTGAAAAGTCAAAGTTTGCTAGTGACAGTGAGCTGTTTATAAATGTTTTGTTGTTCCTGATGTGAAAGATATTTGGAGGATAAAGAGAAGACACCAAAGCCTTCATTTTGGCTTATGGATAATTATGCTCATGTACCTGTTCCTGAACCATATTTGTTCCTTGCAGCTTACAGTTTTCCACAAGTTCTGAGAAAACTGTTTGCTTCTTGGAGAACTTAATGTTCGTAGACAAATCTACAAGTTGAATTACCAGGAAAATAGAGGATGACGGTGAAGTGTTTGTTATCATTGTGGTTCTCTTTGCAGATCCGATTCAGGGGGCTCTCAGACACAATTCGCTTACTGGGTTGCTTTTCAATGGACATCATTGATGTTCCATCATATTGTGTGGGTGAGGAACAGAAGAAGTGGACACTTTGTGAAAGACGGTTTTCCCAGTCGCTCCAACACCTACCGCTGACCACCAGGTCCAGTGTGGACTCAGTCCGATCATCAGTGACATTAGTTTTTGAAGGTACTTTGGATCTTGATCCATGTTCGGTGCTTTATGCAGCTAACGAGATGTTCAAGAACCTTTTTGACATGGCTACAGATTCGTTTGGTTTAAAAAGTGGGAACATTTTACCAGTGGATTCATCTGGGACACAAACAGGGCGAAATGGCACTGGCATTGCATATATTTATCATGCTGGTGCAGTAACAGCCGCTGTTGATCTTCTTCCAGCTGTTTCAGAAATGAATGGCACTGCTACATCAGAGGTAAAGTTAATTCTGATGGTGAACTTTGCTTTGATTTTCAGTACCTCATCGACAATCACTGATAACTTCTCATTTTTTAATTTTAGCCGACAGTGGCCATCAATCGCTTTTTAAAGCTATCGTGACACCTAGAGATCTAACATGCCAACCTTAGACAACAAAGCAGAAAAAAGCATCAAATAGCATCAGTAATATTTTTTTAACAAATGTATTTAACAAATGGTAAACACCACAGCGTTCACTATTGAGTTATGGATGCACGCGGGAGGTTGC